GGGGGGGGGGGGGGGGGCGTGGTAAAATTAGAGGATGGGAATTATGAAAGATGAGTATAAAGAGAGAATGAAGAATTGAAGATGACGTGGTGTACATAGGCAAATGGAAGGGTAGAAGTCGAAGAAAATGTAGGGACTTTTTTTTACTCGCAATAGGAGCTTCCACGAACAAGGTAGCCAACCTGGATGCCAGTAGATTCAGTGTATATATATATATATAGGAAAGTAAAGGGATCTCTTCTTCTCCATATTTCAACTTTTGGAATTCCACTTACCCCCCTTACTGGGTTGGCGGGTTCGACTCGGAGAACTACCCTGATATTACCCTGTCGTAAAAGTTTTCCTCTTTTTTGAAACCCCACGAAACGTCCTGACTCACTCGTACTTCCTTCCTCTAGGACGACTCTCCTTAGTTGTAAGTAACGGTAGCTTCGATGAATGGGGGTTGAAAGCGAGGCAACGGATATATCAGTGGGAGGGATGCGAATGTCACTGGAGATACGAGCTTATCAATAAATTGATTGATTTTCTTAACGTCGAAACTTTCAACCCCGTTGAATTCTTCTCTCACTGGCTTTCATCCCCTTTTTTTTTTATTAGCTGCCGTTGATGTAAGGCTTAGGCCTCCTTCGGTGTGTATAGGGGTTAAAACAAATGGGAATACGGCTGGTAGCTACGCTTTGGTGTACTCACTGCCCGCGGCGGGATTTCTTAGAAAATTGTTTGATCGTCCTCAGACAATTTTCTTTTTTCATCTTTTATTTTTCCTTTTTCCCTTTTCCCTTGCTCAATAACAACCTTCCCGTTTTCACGGCATCCCCATGGAATATTACGGGGAAATGTGGGTCGGCACTTTTACTCTGCTCGAGTCAAGAATGCTTTAACGAGAATGAATGCACTGTAGGGAACTGTAAAAAGTTACTAGAATCTCCGTTCCAAAGGTAAAAAACGATTTTATATTGTTCCTAGGGATTCTTTGAATTTACCATTTTTTTCCCCTGACACAATAACATCCACTTACGATTAATTTTCTCGAAATTCGACATTTGACTTCAATAAGTGCAAAAATCGTCTGACCACCAATTACAGTTTTATGCAGATGAAATATCTAAGGCGTAACTTACCCCAGGAAAATATTTCTGTAAATACCTTGTAAGTCCCACCATTGTAAAAGACAATGGGTGGCGGATATAAAATCTGCCTCTCCACCCTCGAAGCATCCCCATTTCCGGTTTGATATAGGCAAACCAGACCGAGTAAAACCGCAGAGATAACAACCCCTATATCCATATCCTGAAGGGGTGGCTGCTTTTGAGGTTGAATTCACTTTAATCCGAAACCGCAATGACGAACAGGCTCCCGTCGAACTGCTCGGAGAAGAAATAAATACACGAATAGTACAGACATCACTATTCTCAGTCCAACAGTCAGGAAAAATCCAAAGACACGAAACTCACTGTAGTCACTCCGTCAGCTTCAATAGAAAGATGGCGATCGATCGAGTAAACACGTTCAAATAAAATCGTCTGGTCCGACGCTCAAAGAAAAGCGCAGTCAACGTTAAATCTCTCTGCAAAGTAAACTCGATTCCAATCAGTCAGAAAACAGTCGTCGAACCACCAGCTATTTGTACATTACATTAACTTCATAACGGAACCGTACAAGTACACGTTAACAAGGTTATTGACTTGCTTCAGGAAGGAATTAAGGCCCCGTTCAGCCCCTTTCAACGTACAGATATCAACTGAGCAAGCGTCTCTTGGTAAAAATAATTTTCTATGGCGTCCAATGTCTACTCGCTACCTCTAGTCCATAGACTAAACAAACCGCATAGATACACCCATAGAAGAGACACTGCGCGCAGCCTATCGGCCATTCTCAAAGGACTGTACGTGCAAAGTCTAGAAAGTTTTGGGTCAGATAGGGAGACGCTACAAGTTCCCAGTACAAAGGAAACTCCGGGAACTCCTACAAGTTTCCTACTAGGGAAACAGGGCTCGGGAGTGCGACACGCCGGTGATCGGGATTCTCGACGTTTCGGGAGTTAAGGACGACGTGAATTTCTCTAATAACTTTACAAGCGTCGTTACATCAAACAGAACATAGAAATCTTCTTAGCCACGTGGTATAGGGCCGGTTTGAATATGTATATTGCGCAACGACCTGTACTACAGAATTTCTCCAACTATCCTGTAATTGGTGTTTGGAGTTTATGTGGTTGGATAATAATTTAATCGTATTTAGTACATATATACATATATACACCATTGTATTATATACAATTCCATATCAAGCACATAAGTATAATACGTGGGTCGAACAATGGCGGCTGTCATTTTATTCATATAAAATACAAATCTACGTGTTATACTATGGTAGAACTATCGTTAGTTATTTATACGTATAGAATCGATCGGGAATTCGTTATTCGATTTTATTCAATTTCGCAGTTCGTTAACCTCCCGTTCCGTTTGTTCGTTCTCGAATTTATCCACCTACCAGTTTCCTACCCTCTTCGCTTTACGTTCGTTCACTGACGTTTTCATAGTCGCGGTCTTTGATCAGCGCCACTGTCGCCATATGTCACTCTATTACATAATCGTCTGTGTTATAACTGAAATACGGCCGAATTTAATAATTATTGTTATCGTATTGAGCTTTCGCATCAAGTTACTTTTAAATGTTGATTAATCGAGCGATAATACTAATTGACAGAATAATTATCGCTTTACCTATGATCCTGACGCACGTTTATATTTATGATTTTCCTGCTTTTGTATGAAAGTATGACGTTCAATAATAACTTACGAAATATTTAATCGATGCATAGTGATTTATAACGTTGTTTGTATGTGTATATATATATACATTTCGTGATCTTCCATTATCGTTAAGCTATTAGTATTGGTGTTTTGATTTTGTGAAGCAATATGCACGTACCGACTCGATTTATTCAGATTGATTTAACATGGATACGCTTGTTGGATGTATACGCTTGCACGCGCCGGCCGTTAATAAAATATTGAATTATACCTGAAATACCGCTTTCGAAAATTGCTGGACGACGTAACGGAATAATGTAATGGACGATCACACGACGATAAATGGATATCGCGGAAAGTTAGCAGAACTATTTTTTTCATTTTTATATGAAAACGAATTTTTTAATTTTATTTTAACATTGACACCTTCTCATCTATTTAAATTTCATAACTAGCGTTGTTTAATTTCTTTCAAATAATATTAATGAAAACGATAATTATGAAGTATATATACACATAAAGTAAGTAAATATATATACGTAAAGATTTTCGAATTAGGCTACATATACAAGTGTCCTTTATCACTGGAAACACTACACTTAGGAAGGATTTCCACGAACTTTCCTAAAGCACATAACTATTCCAGATATTAGTTATATTCGGTAGGAAACAAGAGGTAAATATGGTTGTTAAGCTGTCCCAAACACATCATCTTGAAATGTTCACCATCTTGGAATATTTCCTTCCGCGGCGTTACGATCACTTAACCCATAGGCATGATGTCTTTCAACTAAATATATACTGTAGCATGTGTACTGTGCTGTCTGTTAAATATATATATATATATACACTCAGCAGTGTATATAGATAGAGATATTGAGTCGTAACGTATATCAAGGAGAAAGCCAGGAAGATCGGCCGAGGTTAGGGTTCATCCCTAGACGGAAATACGATCTGGGTAAACGATTCCAGAGGTGATTCGATGCAATCGGGATAAGCCAGGATGCAGTCACCGCCAGACTTACCCAATCGTTCAGCTTCCTGATATAATTTATTGACGGCCCGGTGATTCGAATTAACCGCCTCCGGTAGATCCTCAGAAGGCCTGAATATACAAGCAATAGAGTTTAATTGTCACTAGATTCTAGGGATATTCATATATAGATACGATTTTCTCAAATGTGTGTTTTTTTAGGTGAAATCTTTTTTTGTGTACATGCATGAAACTGTCAATGTTTTAAGGCCTGAAAAACATAGCTGAACTTTACAAAGGATAGTTTACTTACGTCAGAAGCAAATAAATGATTTCCTCAAACAGATCCTGTCTATTTCTCTCCAGTGGCAACTCGGCTAATTCACAGATCGTTCTCAGTAGACATTCGCGCCCGTGCCAGCCATGTCTGAAAAATTACCAAACGTCTGCTATTCGTTGTCTTGTCTCTTAGAGTCGACCTGACCTCTACCGCCTCCCGACGCTACTATTATGCCGCCTCTACGTTAAGATGGACGCTCGTAGTTTGTCGCGTGTCTCTCGCTTTACACTTGAAAACTTTTCAATGCCGACAAAAGACCAAACTCCGTCACGTTCCGACACCGTTTACAATCTTATTGAACAGTTTCGAGATCGCGCAGTGACATTCCCGGAAGTTAACATTTTTCTACGGTACATTGCATCCTGCTTATTTGTCAACGCTACACGTAAAAATGGGATCCCCATATGTTCTTGGACTATTGGAATTTATTTGATATTCTTCTGAGTTATTTCCACGGATTTGAAGGTTGTACATCGATTTATTTATGGTAGATCTTAGATAATTTTTGAAAATCATTAATCACTCAATCATGTAATTAGTCTGTTTGCCCTGTGAAAAAAGTTTATTTATCAAAGCAATGTGTAAACTTTATCCTGCTGCTGATTAAAGTTCTTTTTATTAATTATCTCTTTTTATCCAATATACAAACTTATACCTATCGCTCATGGTAAATTTTTGTATTATTTCAGAACACTCTGACCGTCTTTCGTGACTGTTTTGTGTAATAGAAATTTTAGAATTATTTTATCCTGTATTTGTCGTTTTCTTTATTTTTAGAATTACTTACTCATCTAGCATAGTTTCGATTGACTTATACGTATCCTCCAATGTTAAATCTCGTGCTTGTCTGGCTGGTATAACGACCGGCTCGAATTGCGTAACATTATATGGTAATACGAAATTCAGCTGAAATCCTATGGAAGATGCCACGCCTCCGCGTTTCGTCGTAAATACCGGTAGGGAGATTCCAATGACATGCTGCAAGAATAAATAAAATAGTGCAATTTAATTACAGCTTGACATCAAATGGGAAATTTATTTAAAAGATTTATTCAAGTCCTGAAAACTTAAAAATATATTCGTGAAAGGCATGGAAAGAGACAAATTAAAATGTATGCAGTAATTACATAAAATGAAGAATTTCACTTATTCAAGTGTTCCCACCCCTCTTTCTTTTCTACCGTTTTTGCTTAGTTGGCATGTAAATTACACATTTATTACAGATAGTAGGTCGACAGGAAAGTTTCAAAAAGAAAAATATCAGTGTAACTCTAAAACCCGTATTCGTGCGTTTTTCCTCAATAGTCCCCAGCTATTTCAGTTAGATCCATACCCCATCAGCCAATCATCAATCAAATACATTCGATCAGCATTCCCCATTCGTCACATGGATCCACAAGAGACAGTGCTCCATTTTTTTAAAAAGTATTTTTTTATCTCCATCTCCCGTTCTCTGTTTTAGCCCCCAGCGAATCTTGATTCCTTAGTTTTTTCCTTCGGCTCAGATAAGATTATGCATTCCAGACAAATAAATGACACCGTGTAATTGATGAACTCCTAAGAAAATACTAGTTATCTTTGGAAGGCCCTAAAAAATGTTGCACTTACTTTTTCCTTCCCCCGCTATTTGTCGATAAAAAAAATTGCTAAAATTCAATAACAAAAAATTGGTATACGTCATCTTAATAATGACAGTCTGGTAGATTCCCTTTTTTTTATATTTATTAAACTCACCTGAAGCACTGTGTTCTCCGGATATACCAGGTAACCGTCGGTCCCAACAATACGTCCCAAAAAGCCCACGAGAGTCAGTACAGAGAGAAGACTCGACATTCTCGGTTTGCTGTACATGTAAACTGATCAGGTATCACGTAAGATGTTTTTTTTAACCTGCTGCACAGCAATGCTTACTCAACTGATTCTCAAGTTGAGTTCAACAGACATCTATAGGACGACCGTTCCATGTGAATCGACCTTAGTCGATTATAGATATAAATTATATCATATTTTACAGTATACTATACTCTCTTTTTTATGTTATGAAATATGTAAATATAGACAAAAAAATTCAATTACCCATTTACAGACATATTTTCAATTGAAAAGTCCTTTTTTTATTTTTTATCCGAATTATCAATGAAATATCTTAATTATACAGAGCAAAGGTAGGTAAAATGAAGGTAGATATATATACAGTTATACACACTTGATTATTGTCAGTGCAGACTACAGTGTACAGGAAGTTGATCGTTTCCCGCTTGTTATTCGTAGCGACCGATACATATGAAATGGATGGGATACCTCACGCCCCGGAAGTGCTCGAAAACGGGTGGTTGGAAACACCCACAAAGGGTTGCCAAAGTTCGATCGCAGTCCGAAGGCGAAAATTGGTACGTGTCGTATCCGCAGGGAGTCATAACCTTGCGTTTTCTTTCCTAGGGAGAGAAAACCACCCTGGCACGTTTCATCCCCTCGAGGGACACAGAGAGCTGTCCTCTCGGAGGTCGCTGGACCAATTCGTGAAAAAAAGGGTCTCCGCTAACGGGAAGTCGAATTCCTTATAGGGAAATGAAAAATTGGACGTCTGAATGGTATCTGCTGATGCGGATCGCTTTGGCAGTTATACTTTTTTCATCCCCCATTCGTAGAAAATCTTCTAAGAATCATCTGCCTTAAGTCACCGTATAATTTCGATCCTGAAAATTCCTTATCAAGGAGATAACCGTGACTGTAAATAATAGGGGTTGGTTTTTCAACCACCCTCCCATTTGGCTTCAACCCCAAACACGTTAATGGCCGTCGTCTTTTTGCCGGCACATAATCTCATTGACCCAAACTCCCACTTGCAACCCTTATCGTCCCGAAGCTCCTACCAAATTGACCAGCCCCTTTAAAGGAACTACACCTTGGATCAAAATTAACCCCTTGGATTCTCGTCTACTCGCCAGAGACTGGAAGATATCGATTAAAAGAAAATGTAAAATCAATTTTTATTTTATATATAAATACATATTTTTACACCCGAGTAAATTAATATCGACGTCCTGTCGAGTGAACAAAATATGGATTAATAAGGAGTAAACAAAAGGTGGAAAAGAGAAATACGACGAAATAAATTGATAGAAAGAGACCGAAGTGACCCAATTAAGGATGACGAATCCCGGTACGTCTTTTCTGTTTGCTCGAGTAATTGAAGTATTAGTTTGATCGAGATAGAAATGTTGGAGGTAAGATTAGGTAGCAGAGGGAAGCGACGGACGTGGGACACTGAGAGGGTGGAAAAGATAGCTCACGTAAAGTGTATCGAGGTTAAAATCCCGCGGGACATGTGAAGTCGGTAATCTTTGAAAAATTTTCTCGTAATAACGAAAAACGTCAAAATAAATAATACAAATAAGAAAAGAGAGACGAAGAAAATTCTGATAGCTAGCACTAAAAATATAATCTCTTGGGACATATCTAGTTTGTTCCTTGATCTTTTTTTTTTATTACCCATTTCTTTCTCTCTCCTTCCTCATTCACTCTTTTCCTTATTTCACCTTCCTTCATCCACTCCATTCCTTCTAAGCAGACGTCGTCGAGAACACGTCCAGGATACTCTTCTCGCACTCCGGATAAAGGACGTGGCAATTCTCGCCTACGTGCTTCCCAAGACGTTCTGCCGCATGATAGTCCCTATCCTGATACTCGTCGTGCTCCTCGTTCGTGCTGGACGGACTGACAATGAGAGGAGACCATAGAGTACAAAATGATATGTAGAAGGAACCCGTAGAAATTGTGGTAGGCAGATGGAATAAAGAGTGAATGGAATATAAAAATAATTTGAGGTTATGAATTAAAATTTTTTTTTATGTATAGTGGGTTATTCAGAAAAAAAAATTAGTAGTTGAAGTTGGCCGCAGATGGGTGGTTCAGCTAAAGCAGTCTGGCATCGTTGAAATAAAAAAAAATAAAATCAAAGCCATAACGTTATTAACATTATGAGCTTCACATTCTTTCATTAGTTTAACGAGGTCACGCCGCCTCGATTAACGATCGTTCATTCGCGTCCAACTTCAGCTGATGCAATTTGCCGTGAATTACACTTTATGTATATTATGCAGATATATAATCGTGTATACTCACGTTAAAAATGCTTGAAAAAGTTGACCAAACAATCCGTGGTCGTGATCGAATGGTACCGCCGCTGCCTCACAGATGGCGCGGAGGATGCAACTTTTTCCACCGAAACCATAGACTTCCGCTGCTGTTTCCAATACTTTGTAAATGCTCCAACGACTTTTGGTATTACGTGCGTAATATACACCTGGTTCGGTGTAATAAGTAGCGTTTGCCGGTAACGCGTAGAGGAGTTTAGTGAAAGCACCGACTATCACGCTCGCGGCGTCCAGTTGGAGCGGCGTACCAAGACCGAAGATTAACTAGGTTAGAAGGGCGGGAAATTCAAATAAATAATATTCGACTGGTTGCGATTATAACTTAACTTTTTTTTTTCATGCTTACCAGTAAATTCGTTGGGTCTGGATATACCAGAGTTCTTTTTTCTCGCTCTAGGACTTCACTTTCGTTTCCATTTTTAAAGACGTCATGATCCACATTGTAGGAATCTTCCTGACCGGCAACGATCAATGAGAGGGCGAGGATTGTCGATACGCTGATTAAATCGAGTCCAAATTTCATGATAGATATTACGAGGTAATATATATTTTTTGAATTTTGTTTTTAATTTTTTTCCAGCTATTTTGATAGCTTGGTAACGTTTTACAATATTTCTAACTGGACTGACTAGATGAGACTAGATGTTCTAACTCCTGCGGAACGAGGTATATGTTTTTTTTCTTTCTCTTTAATTTTGTCCTTCCTTTCTTTTCTCGCTCTTTCTACGTCCCTCTCCATCCGCCTTTCCATTACCACGTTGTACGGAGAACCAATGCTAACTACCTTGCGGGAGAGGCGACTGGCTCGGATTAGCACTTCCATCGGGCGATAATCAATTCTCACAATAGTACAGTGGCGACCTGATTAAGAATAACTGTAACCTCCCTAGGGGTCGTTGATCCCGCAGCCGTTGGAATATTCCCAGAACGTTCGACAGTGCTCGGAGAATCGTGATAAAGTGAAAAGAGAGAGAGGGGGAAAAAAAGAAAGAAAATTCATCAAGGTACCAGCGTATCCAAAGAATTTGTAGAATGGCTGCCAGTGACAGCGCGGTAAGCATATTGGAAGTATTGCGTGGGCGGGTGGATGATAAATATACTTGAGAATGACGTCTAGGGGATGAAATTGCTGTTGTAACGAGGATCGTCAAAAATGTATAAGAAATTAGTGAAAGAAAAAAAATATATATATTTCTATCAGTACTATTACCTTTCATCTGGAACCTCTTCAGGGGGTTCGTTTCTGGACTGCCCGACGTACCCCATTTTGACAGAAGACCGAAAGGGACAAAGAGAAGTGGTGATACAAATAAATAGATAAATAAAAGGAAACGAGGAGTCCACTCTATCTAGATGCTTTATGCCCCCTCTAGCTTATATATCCAGGAGGATCCCTAAGGATGGTCAAACAGGGGATGGACGCCGACGCCCAACGTCAACATAACGGTTCTCTCGAAAAGGAGCCCCGTTTTCAAAGATACCAACAGCGTGGGCTGTACGGATAATAAAGTATCAACTGGACGTCGCGAACACCCCTAGTGGAGCACTCAGCAGAGTCCGCCAGCCCGGAATGTCATTCCGGCTTGGAATTGAATTACAACCCCCGAACGACCTAATAAAACCCACCCTCTACACCAAGCTACACGTTGGCCCAGTCTGCCGTGAAGCTCGTAAAAAAAAAAAAAAAAAAATGAAAAAGGAAAAACTTGGAAGAAAACCGTCTTTAGGGGCGGGGGGGGGTGCGAGAGGATACCAATGAGGGATGAAGGAGGACTAGATTCATAAGGATTGGAAGATTTAGGGGATGAAGAAAAAAATTATTTACCACTTGAAAAAAAAAACCGCGTCGTATAATTATATTTTTTAAGTCACGGGGGGGCACGTGAATTTTGAAAATTTTACATTCATACCAATCAATACTGAATTGTATCGGCACTATATTCCACAGTGACGTAAGAAGATCAAAAGAAATGGCGGCACCATATCGAAACGAATGAAATTCCGCGACCCCATAAATTTAAACCTTTTCCTCCTACGCGTCCCCCGTTATTAAACCTGTGGAAACTGCCAATAACGTTCTCGATAACTGCTCCAGGTTCTGTCGCGACCACCCGGTATATATGTTTAGCCTTTACCACCGTCCTCTTCGATTTTTCTACAACACTCTCAAACCCCCTTAATCTAGATCATCCCTTCTTGCGTATTTACCCCTAATCCTATTATCATATATTTATATCCATCCTGATCGAACGATTCATCCCCCCCCCCCCC